AATGCTACGCTTTTCTAAGGAGCCGTGTTGTGACACTTATTTCTGGGACGCTCTAATGGTTTACGTAATCTGGGTTAAATTATGCAAGATTTTTCGAAAGTTGAACCAACTCCAGTTGCCTAAGATGACCATCTCCTGTCTTAATTCATATCAAGTATTAAAAGATTGACCTATCCGACGGACACCGGGGCTTTCTTCGGGGTCAAAGTGGGTGGAGCTTGTCATCTCCATTTTCTGCCTAAGTTAAGAACATTCACCCTTCTGCATGACCACAGGACTATTTTGAATTTTGAAGTTTAGTGACGAAAGTGCGTTGTTAAACTGATGCATATTTTTTTCTAATTTGCTTTTTTTATTTTTTGACAAAACAGAGTTTTATAAGATGGCTGCGCACTGTCAAGAGATGAAAGTAAAAAACCCGATCTGTCCGGTCCGTAGCGCCAGCCTCCAGACTCCCGGACTAGCTCCATCCAATGGACCAAACGTCAGGTTTTGTGCTTTTACCTGATGAAGGAAGCAGAAACTTTGGACGTGCTTTCTCTAAAAAGAACAAATTCTCGTGACCTCTAACGTCAGAGTTTGCATTCAACCAATCCCTACATCCTGTCCTTCTAGGGCGTATTTTTGGCATTGTCCGTGTGGACCCTTCTCGTCTCAGTGATTTTTAAACCAGTACGCAGCGGATTTGCAAGAAACTCGGTATGAAAATCATGCCATGGGAGGTTATCCAACCTTAAACTTTCTAATTCCGTACTAGCCATGGTAGTAACACGGCACCCTTGCAACTTCTGCGGTGAAAGCGAAAATGACGTGACTTTATTAATGGGCATATAAAATATCATGGGGTGAGATATTTAAGATGAGGAAGGTCCTTGCAGTGGCGTGTCGACATCTTGTTTTACATTTGATGGCGGGAAGTAATGGGTAATTTATTGTAATGACAGGGAATATATAAAGTGTGTCCCACAAATACGTTTTCACGTTCAGTGAATTAAGTAAAGACATTACGTACGTCAGCACCGGCTCCTAGTGAATTATGGAATCTAGCGTAGGTCACGAACATGGCCACGTGAGAAACTGAGGTAACATCTTAACACTTAAAAGTAATATAAATATTTATTGGTGGAAAAATACATGACTGTGGATTATTAAAGTGCATAATTAATGACCAAAATTCCTCCTAGCCTCGTTATACATCCTTGAACTCTGCGGTGTTCCGCGTTACCGTCTAACAAGCTAGCACAGCCGACATACCACGTCTGTACCCTGCAGACCAATCAAATTTCGTCATGCACCATCAGAAGCTAGCACAGCCGACATACCACGTCTATACCCTGCAGACCAATCAAATTTCGTTATGCACCATCATACCATGTCTTTACAACGACGTAATAGAGGATGAGGCTTAAAGGAGCCTCTGGACTTCCCCAGTTCGATTCCCGAATATGGCGGGATTATTTTCCGCACCAGCACTGAAGATAGCAGCTTTTCCTGGGGGCGAAATTCCTGGGGCGTGAAGTGACCACATACAATGAATGACGAATTGCCTACACGCCCCCACACGCCATCATGGCGTCTTGTTTTGACACAGGGGAACTTCATTTCACTCTGTCCGGAATTTAGATTCAGTTTTATCGTTGCTTTGGACAGTCATTATACTCTCTGGACCATCTGCTTCAGCATTAATTAAGCAATCGGAAATGTAATCACACAGTTTAATGAACGGTTTCATTTTATGCTCGGTATAAACGGTCGTGTTTTCATGTACGACTGGAATCTTTCACGTCGATTGAGCTCGATGCAGTCTTCTCGCTCAGCAAGCCGTGTTAATCGTGGACAAAAGCCTTCGGCCTTGTTGCCGTGTCGAGGTGCGAAGGTGGCTGGCTGTCCTCTGGGTTGTAGCGCCTTGTATGTACCCTGGTAGAAGTATTTTTCATCGGGTCCCGTTTTATAGAGCTGCTTTTCCTTTGCCGACTGAGCTCTGTCTGGACCTTCGACGTTGTGTGCTTTCTTTGAATTGACATCAAGTTCGTGGTTTTAAGTCTTGTGTTTTGCCTCGACCGCTTCTAATTAATCTTCATTAAACTTTTAAGCCACGGCACTGACGATACTTACCTACAGTTGCCTGCAGTGAATAAGTAAATACAGATGATAAGATGAGGCGGCGGCAGGTACGTTCAGTTTATACACGCCCGTGCAATGAAGGGATGTTTTTAATATGACGCATCTAATGTTCTGATTACAGTAATAATTGCACCAGACACAGGCTATCACAGATAATTTATAATGACCATAATTTCTCATACTTCAGTGTAAAGTGAACGTCCTGTATCGCTCAGATGAACGCGCACCAAAGTTGACCTAATTCGTCGAAACGGATGCAAGTCTTAACAGATGGAAATGCAAATTGTAATTTGAATTTTAGATGTTGTAAAGTCCGGATTAAGATGGTGTAGTATCGTAACTCTTAAGAATTTATGTGAGCATTCTAGCCGCGTCATCTCGCATTTGCAACCAGAGAAGGCGATAGTATGATTTTAACCGAATAAAAACAGCCATAATTTATTCTACTACTGGCTTAATCCCTAACCTCATTCATATCTGTAATAGAGACAAGTTGGGAGCTTTGTTTTTACTCTGTATGTGTACAATGAATCAAACGAAAGTACTACTACTAAGATAGTGCAGCTGTGATTTGTCCTAGATCCAGTAACGAAATTAGCATATTTTCTCGTCTGCGATGTGCTATTAGTCTGAAACCTGATGCGAATATACCACTGTCGGGACATAGGCACACTTTGGAGGATAATATTAAAGTAGATTCCAAAGCAGTAGGGATCGTGATGTGGAATTTGTTTGACTTAACGATTTGGTCGAGTCGCTGGCTTCTGTGAACACGTCAGTAAAGCTTCAGCCTACATAAACTGCGGAGAATTACTTGACTAACCGAAAATCCGTCCAAGGTCCCTTGCCGAATGTCAAAAATATTAATTGAAAATGTGACGTCTGCACAGTTAATCAAAGCGGTGGGACACAGGAGGAAGATAATATAGGCCTTGGCTAAACCAGCTAATTAATCGTCATTGTTCCTACTATGAAGTACTTAGTTCTTCATTTGCATATCACTGGATGCGTCAAGATTATGTAATGAACTGTCACAATCAAATACGTTGTAACTTATACTTTTCAATCGTTATGGCAACGATAAATATGTATATTAATGAAGAGTTGGCTTCTTTTCATTGTCACGTATAACCTCAACGATTCGCCCGCCGCCATGTTCGCAATTACTGGGATCGACCCGTTCTTCAAGTGCCTGAGCACTGCGGGTCCCAACTTTTCGTTGGCTTGAGCTAGGACTCCTTGGACGAGGGATCGGCCCGTCACAAGGCCTCTGCCTGTACTCAGGACAGCACAACACAGAAAGACGCGGACAAACATCCATGCCTTGAGTGAGATTCGAACCCACAGTCCCAGCGACCAAGCGGCAGAAGGATGTTCCTACGGAAGGTGGACGACTTGCCTTCCTCGGCCTGCGTTTCACATGCCGAGCTCCAGTCGATCTGTAGTTACGGCAATCAGACCGAAATATCAACACAGACACGTGCGTCCGCCATTATGTCATTCTTAACAACTGCGCCCACATCAGAAGTTAACCACGGCCTCCATGTTGGTGTGTATTATTCGCTGTAGGCAGTCAGAAGTACACGGATGGCTTGACTTCCTGTGCACACGATTGCCTACACTACAGGCGAACGGTCCGCTGACTTTCGACAGCTACGGTTCCAGTGAATGTTATTTTTAGTACAGATTAATTTAACTTGAACGAGCCACAGGTCAGGAGGACGAAAATTATTAAAGCCGTGCCCGTGGGTTGTGTTCCGGTGACAGCTGTCTTCCACTCCACTGACGTTGCGTTGTCCACCTCGCGTCTCTGATACTGATGAATCAGGTACAACCACTGGAATGTAAAAAGTGGCTCCGGTAACCCCTGCATCGCAGTTGTCACAGTTCTGGTGATTTACATAGCCGCAGCGGATGTCTCGTTGGAAATGTTCCCGGACGATGTGGATGAATAATTGTTCAAATTTGTCGCTCAAGATCGGGTGTTGTATTCCCCTTGCCGCTTAACTCAACGTGACTTCGCTCAGTGAACTTCGTCGCAGAATGTCTCGTGAATGCGTCAATCGCCCGCCTTCAGTTACGTTAGCAGAGAGTTAACTTTTAAACCTCAAAGACGAAATTTCGGCCTCACGTCAAATTCAACTTCGACGTTCAACTTTCAAGTATGCGTAACGATTTTTGGTTCGGTTAGGTTGCCGTCCTGCTTATGACGTGTCCGTTCTCAGCCTGATTTCTGCACGCAATATGTAGCTACTACATTCATTGGAAGCTTTTCATCCATTACCTGGATCTACAGACGTAAGTGACATGCTAAGATGCCTATCTTCTGGGTTACTCATCGCCCTGAAGCGTCGGTAAACAACAACCAGAAGACATCCATGATAACCTCAAATCCTACTTAAAAGGCACTTGCTCATTCTGCTGTCATCGATTTTCGAATAAACACAGAATAATATGAATTAAAATGGTTCATTTAGTAATGTGATTCGCAGGTTCGTTAAAGTAAACTCTTATTTACAACGAAAATCTCTTACAGGATTCTGAAATTATGTGGAAAATTTTCACTTGGTTGGTAATAAAGCAATTATTATGTCAGCTGAATAGTTTACTGTAATAAAGTGTACTTTGAGTTGTTCATAATAAGTAGTAGCATGTAACCATAAGATAACTGTCCAACCACTTTTAGTTACTTACTTACTTAATGATAAAAGTGTTTGGAAAGTCACTTTGTGGTTATAGTTTGAGGTGTTGCATTTCTTAAAGCGCATCATGATGGCCATCTGCTTTATTGGTGGCTTACCTTGATGAGGTGTTGCATTTCTTAAAGCGCATCACCCCCACCGAAATGATGGCCATCTGCTGTATTGGTGGCTTACCTTGAAATCCAGAACTGAAGAACAAACAATCTTGTTCACTCGAAGAGCAGGTCCGGTGGATCCTTCTCAGTGCGTCGTTGAAGGCAGTGTTTCTCTGTTGTACCACTAATTTTTCACAACTTACGATATCCAGCAGTATCTTGTTGAAATTAAATCACCAGTTAATTATTATTGTTGGCAATGATGTTGCGTTCTGCTGCGACCTCACACCGAACTGGACAGTGGGTTTGACACATGTCGGAAGTCACAAAGCTTCTACATCAAATATTCTCGAAGTAGGTCGTTTGAAACACTTCATATCGTATAAGAAGCCTCCGAATCTAGACACGGAGCCCAGTCGACTAAAAACACTTCACCACCAGAAATTCTTGTACCTGCGAGAGGCCGATGAGCGATATCCAGTGGGTTTGCCACCGAATGCCCGATAAACTAGACGAAGGCCGTCAGAGGCTGCGTCCTCCCTCGGGCGATGTCTGCGGTGCGAGCCCCAAACGAAGACTGGCTCACTACTGACATTGCGTTACTGGGTAAAGTGGTCACCATGGGGACAGGAGGTAACTGTACTCTGGTGGTACTCCACAATATTGAAGACGCGGCGGAGAGGACGGAGTCCAGCCAGAAGTGGAACGCGACCTCCCACCACCTCACCCCGCTCCCCTCCGCTCTGCAGCGACGCACTGCCGAATCCCACTCGCACTTCTGGGCCAGAATCAGGAAGTTCCGGGTTTTGAGCGAACTTTCCACTTTCTTTTCTTTGGTTTTATGTTTATTCAGGTCTTGCTCCTTTCCCTCCTTCGAAGGAATCTTTCATTCTCTTTCTCTGTCTTCCTAAATCAGACTCTGCAGAAATGACATTTGTTACAGAGCAAGAACCCGTTTAAGGTCAAAAGTGGCATTTACGACCTGCGAAACAGAACTGAATGCTCTTGTGACATTTTACTTACCTCCATGCACTGAGGGAGCTAATGCGACTTATTTGCTCCCCCCCATCACACTTAAGAGGGCCAGATGTCAGAGGTGAACGAAAATCAGTGAATACTCCTTTTCGTCAAATCGTATGGTTTTATTACGAAATGCGACAATATTGGTCACAGGACTGTAATACAAGACTGATATAAAGTCTTAAAAGAATTCTTGGCGTCATTAGAAATTAATGTAAGAATATCCTAATGTCATCGTTGTATAGTTTAGGCACTTAAAATGGTCTGCACTTTTCAGTATTCAGTTTTTGTGGCCCGCCTGTCAGCTGCTGGTTCGTGGGCTCATCTTTCTGAAATCCAAGTTTTGAGTCTGCAAATACATTTTTTTAAGTTCGGTGTCTCTCCTCAGACACGCCACTCAGAATTCCCTGAGACAGTCATTTTCAGAATCCAAATTGACTGTTGCACTGTATTTCACGTTGCGAAAGCTTAGAACCCCCTCCGTAAGTTCGTGTATGATTTCTGTAGTCATATTTGTTTAATTTTAAAATAAATAGGCGAGCCTGATTTTTTGGGCTGTTCTTCGAAAACTAATTTTCATTTCCTCATGCCACTTTTGTCCTTACACTGGCGATATGAACACAACGTCGGAGTCGATGTAAAATCGACTGGGACGCTGTATGGAGCAATACGCGAGTGATTAGGCAGTGTTGTAAAACAACCGCCCATCTATTTACCGTACCTGAGGATTTTTTCCCCGACCGCCTCGTGATAGTTTCAGGGTGTTCTTTTTTGTTCATCTCCTTCGTATCATTTCTTGTCCCTTCCTGTTTTTCGTCCATCATAGTTTCTTTAGTTCAACAGGTCACCGTCATAGGCGCTTACCGCAACTTGGAGCAAATGTACAGCTAGTTTGTATTAAAAGTGGGACAAATGTGTCACTCTCAACCGGCTGAACCTGTTCGCTTTTGACACCCCCCGGTCAGTGGTCACGTGTGCCCTCGGTCATTCTCGTTTAATCCCGCGTTAAGTGGATGCTGTAGAATTCTTAATTGGCGTGATGCGTGCTCCTTGCATGAGGGAGGGACCGGCGTGAGTCGGAAAACCTGAAGGGAAGACCTTTTAAGAGCTAAAGATGTGCGTTGATTCACCTGGCTCAAGTGGCGGACTGTATCGAGTTCCATGAAAAGCGGGGAACTTCCTGAGTAGCTTAGAGCACAATTTCGCTTCTGAAGGAGGGCTCTTCCCCATGGCTACGTGTTTAGTTAATGGAATGAAACTGTGACACGTAATACTACTTTGTAGGTTTGTTTACTTTTGTTGTTTGTTTATGTTTCCACCGTTTATTATGAGGCCTACTTCTAATTAGCGACCTTCTTAACACGCGCGGAAGTCTTGCCGCTCTTATAATTTATTCGGACGAACATTTCTATTGATTTACCCAGTTGTGGCATATTTTTTAACGTTCACGCCCTAATCAGAAAGATTGTTGCAAATTTAATGTTCGGTTCGCATATAATTTTTTTTGTGGTAAGACTGGGTTCCAGGTATGTGAGTAAATTTCCCTCTGCTGCATTGGCATCTCTGATATTAATGGGGATCTGATTACCTCTGGTGACGTCGTGTCTGTGCCGAGGGCCTGTGACTTGAGGTCGTGTGTGTTCGTACACGTGAGCGAGGAATTGGCTCTGCGCCTTCAGTCACATTTGTTGTAAAATATTACGTTCTGTTATTTATTTAAAGTCAGAAATGCGCTTCGTGTAATTTGTCGAATTGGTGAGGACAGACGTAAAATCCGCGAGACCCCTCTCACTACCACATTTGATCGAAACCCTCCAATTGGCTGACCTCCTGAAGAGTAATGAATGTACAGAAGTGGTTTGTGACATCGGAACTTAATGAAGACGAGTGAAAACAATGGAGCAGTGCTCTGATTCCAGTCACGAAGTGGCAAATTAGGATTTACATGTCTGTGAATATACTTAAACAAATAAGTTCTCTGGCCTCTTCTTGCGTTATGTCGTAATTTTATAAGCACTTGGATGACAAATAAGACCCGCTCGCCGCTGGAAAGGAGCAGAGTCGATAGTTCGGAAAAGTTAATGTCCTTACTCAGGTTGACTGAAAAGTTAGGAACCCATATCAAAATGTTTGTCTTTGGTTGCAATGCAGTTCGCTTGTAACTGGATTAACAAACACACAATATCGCTCTGTTTACACACGAGCCGACAGTCCGTCAACGGCGTTCATGCAGTCGACGAGCAAGCCTCTCGCGTTCTTCCCAGGAATTCTCGTCTTCAAAATAACCTAAAAAGCCCGAAAGGTTTTCTTCCGTTGAGGACACGTCATTGTAGTCGTCAGACTGCGTATTTCCACGGTATAACAGGGCATGAGTAATACATTTTATATTCAAGCAAGCACTGATTTATTGTGTGTGTTCCTTGCATGTTTATGCCACTGATGTGGATCCACGTGGGCCGCTGACCGCGGTACTCCTGGCACATTTTGCCTCCAACGCCTCGGATGCATCGAACGTTTCGTCGTGAATGACATTCAGATTCCAATGAGTTGGGGAGGACGGATAAAACGTCACGCAGCCTTGACCTTGGAACCAGATGAGGGTGCGTATTTTGCTTCAGGGTTGTGTTGTTTTGCACCCCGTTTGAGTCTCCAGAACCCACTGGGTTTGAGGCTGGGCGGGAGCCAGAAAACTTCGTGCCGCGGTCCTGTCGGGAGTCGAAGCCTGCAAAACACGTTCTGCACCGTAGTGTACAAAATTGTAGTCGGAAAGCGTTCATAGACGGGAGTGAGGGGGTGGATTGGTCTGAAGTGGCTAAGGGCTCGAGGGAACACGATTTGGTTGTCCCGCAGGTAATGAGGTCAGTTAATGAGGAAGACAAATACGTGAATAATTTATGAAACGTCACGAAATACCTGCTTTGATCGTACGTCTTGTTATGACATGCAGCAGTGTGTGTTGCGTAATGCATCCAGGAAGTGGAGACCCTGCCCGCTGTGTATCCGTAACTCTATGAACCAGGGAAAGTACGCACACAGTAGGAAGAAAGTCAGGTCGCTCTACGCCTCACACATCAATGCACTTCCTTCGTATATATTTTTATTTATTTATTTATTTATTTGTTTGTGTGTACGGGCGATGTAGTTCACTCTGACCTTCTGCCTTTGCCCAGAAGTTTTGTTCCACGTTTTCGGAAATTTGTTGTGACTTCATTCAGGATGAAGAAGTTCGAATACACTGCCCTGGCTTCATCCTGTGCCGTTCCAAATACTCTCCCAGAGGAGTTTCTTCCAATACGCGGTCCCCCTGTTAGCGCATTCTACTCTGGAGATAAGTTTGTTTTCCTTTGTCCATTTGCGAGAAGTCTGGCCAGTTATCGCAGCCCATACACATTCTGAGTAATCAGTTCTTTGAATCGTAGATGCGTCATGTCACATTAAGATTGGGCTTCGTTAACCGCGTTCATTGTGCCTCGTTAATACTGCAGTTGTAGCGACGTAGCAGATTTCGTTATGCGTCGTACGGAACATTTTGGACGTAACTTGTTCATTTTATTTTTTGTTTTTGTTTTTAAAGGTGTTTGTAGTTACGCTCGTGACACAGTCCGGCTCCGGAAACAAATCCCACACAGAGTTGATTTTCCCAGGGATATTGACAGCTGCGCCCTCCCGGAAATAGTTCGAGATGACAACTTGCAAACTCGGCATCCGGTATCTTCACGTCGTTTTACTATAGCCAAAATAACCTCGGACGTTCGTAGAGAGTCGTTAAATTATTCTTTAGAGAATTAATGTCATTATCCGTTTCATACGACGTCGTCTCCATGACAGGGATAAATTTTTACTGAAATAATCAGCGCTTAATTTGATAATCAGCCACAAATACACTCCGTGAGGCGACAACAGTGATTCTGAAAGTTGAAGCAGGTGGTACGTGTGAGCTACCACCGTGTTTCAAGGGGCCGAGAGGCATTTTGCTATCCCCTGCTATCAGTAAGCTCCGAGGAACAGAAGAGGGAAGAGCTAGTCAGGTAGTGGGCACAAACTTTTCACTCGTCTGTAGGCGCCGCGTCCACTGGAAAAAAATTCGATGGAAATCACTTGAACTGCATTCGAAATGAAATCATTCCACAGGTGTGCCGCAGACTTGGATTTTTGCTTTGCTGAAGCAGTTTCTGTTACGACCAGCTTTGTTCAGCGGGTTTTTCCTTTTCCGGGCGCAGACGTGTGAATCAGAAGCCTGTCGGTAATTCACGGAAACAAACAACATGAAACAAACAACATGAAACAAACAACATGAAACATGAATCGCAGGTTTCTTGTGCAGGGTGCCCACAAATACGACGGAACGCGTTCTGAAGTTTGTTGTTGCAGATCGCCACCACTGTGTCCAGACCGGTCTGGAAAGAAGTCGTGTTTCAGGAGGAAGTAGAAATCCTTCGTGACAAAGCAGCCCGAAACGAAGATCCTTCTGTAAGGATAAGGACTTGCCCTCTGTTTTAAGTCCCCTGCCTGTCCTTGCCTCTCGGTCGCTGCAAAGCGTCGTGGCCTTAAACTGGCAGGCGCGGTCCATCAGCCGTTCCATTCCAGATAAACAGGACGATGAAAATCACTTCTCATCAT